AGGCCAAGCTTTCTTAAAGAAAAGATGAAAACAGCTGAAAAATTGCATACTTCTTGTGCATTGGGTTTGGGATAAATTATACCTCAGTTAAAAAACACTTTGTGAGGTACTGTTGTTTCTGTATTTCCAGGCACATGGGAGTTTTCTTGTTATCTGTTGTTGATTTCTCACTTAACTGCATTGCAGTCAGAAACTATATTCTGTATGATTTCAAAGCCTGACAGTTTGAGACTCTTGCCTGATGACACTGTGCTGTGGTTCTTTTATTAACATCCGCTTGAGTCTGAGATGAATGTGTATCTGCAGGTGCTGGATTCCATGTTCACAAACATTACTCATTCTTAATCGCTCTTTTAAATCTTTTGAAAATCTATGATTTTTTTCTGTGCCTGCTGTGGGTAACTTGCTGATAGATGTGTTAAAATCTCCCACTATGACTGCCTCTTTGTGTTTCTGTCAGTGTTTAACATACACATATAAACACACATACACAAATACACAAACATAAAAACATAATGCACACAAACACACAAGCACACATACACACACAAACACATACACAAATACACAAACAAAAACAATACACACAAACACAAACACACACACACAAACAATACACAAACATAAAAACATACATGCACACACACAAGCACATACACACACACAAGCACATACACACACACAAACACATAAATACACAAACAAAAACATGCACACAAACACAAGCACACATACACACACAAACACACAAATACACAAAAACATAAAAACAATGCACACAAACACACACAAGCACACATACACACACAAACACATACACAAACACATAAAAACAATGCACACAAACACACACAAGCACACATACACACACAAACACATAAATACACAAACACATAAAAACATACATGCACACAGACACATGTACAAGCCCACAAACATTTTGGGTCATTTCTGTATGTGCTTGTAACAATACAACAATCACCTCTTTGAGAATTGAACCTTTATATTATTATAAAATAATTCTTTTATCCCTAGTAATGCTTTTAAATTGCTTTCTATGATATTAGTATCTGTACAAATTAACAGCTCTCCGTTATATCTGATTAGAGCATCTGGCTAGTCCGATGTTAAAGTCTCTGCTGTGCTGGGTGAGGCTCCGTCCTAATCGCCTTCTCTGCATTCCTGGGACACATTCACTCCATGACTGGGCCCTGACTTAGATTCCATTGTTACCACAGTTAAACATGTTTAAATGTATTTGTTTTTATTGATATATCACAGTTTTTATTGATATATACTTGGAAGCCAAGTGTGATATTTTGGAAGAGGTGTACAATGTGTCATCTCATCAGGACAATGGGGCATCCGTCCCCTCAGCCGTTTATCTTTCCTTTGTGTTGAAAACATTACAATTCTTTTCTTTTCTTTCTTTCTTTCTTTTTTTTTTGAGACGGAGTTTTGCTTGTTACCCAGGCTGGAGTGCAATGGCGTGATCTTGGCTCACCGCAACCTCCACCTCCTGGGTTCAAGCAATTTTCCCGCCTCAGCCTCCTGAGTAGCTGGGATTACAGGCACGCGCCACCGTGCCCAGCTAATTTTTTGTATTTTTAGTAGAGACGGGTTTCACCATGTTGACCAGGATGGTCTTGATCTCTTGACCTCGTGATCCACCCTCCTTGGCCTCCCAAAGTGCTGGGATTACAGGCTTGAGCCACCGCGCCTGGCCCTACAATTCTTTTCTAATTATTTTGCGTTATCACATATTTTTATTTTTATTTTTTTTGAGACAGAGTTTCGCTCTTGTTGCCCAGACTGAAGTGCAATGGTGCGATCTTGGCTCACCTCAACCTCCGCCTCCCGGGTTCAAGCAATTCTCCTGCCTCAGCCTCCTGAGTAGCTGGGATTACAGGCACACGCCACCATGCTAATTTTTTGTATTTTTAGTAGAGATGAAGTATCTCCATATTGGTCTGGCTGGTCTTGAACTCAGACCTCAGGTGATCTGCCCACCTCTACCTCCCAAAGTGCTGGGATTACAGGCATGAGCCACCATGCCTGAGTTATCACGTATTTTTAAATCACACATTTTCATGTTCTAGAGATTTCAAACCCTGCAACACATAAGTATTATTGTTCCAGATGGTCCTTGTTCACTTTGATTTACTTACTCATCTACTGCAGGAAGAGGGGATGCTGCTCTAAATGCAACACCCTGAAACCCTGAGGGTGAGACACACTGAGAATGTTCACAGTAGGTGCAGGCAGGGCTGCCTCCTGACACCCAGAGGGCCCAGCTTCTCCCTGCCCCACTTGCACAGGCAGAGAGCCGCCTAGGGGAGATCCTCCAGCCCAAGGTTTGGCCCTCTCCCTGAGCCTCCTGCCCCGAGGCCTGGCCCTCTCCCCGGGTGTCCAGCCCCGAGGCCTGGCCCTCTCCCTGGGCCTCCTGCCTCCAGCCCTGAGGCCTGGGCATCTCCTGTGCAGGACCCCGGTGGTCGCACCTGGGGGTGGACGGTGGCCACCTCTGCCTGCTATGTTGCACTGGGGGCTGCCCAGAGGGTACCAGGGCTGTCCTTTGGCAGTGTAGGTGTATTCCAGACCCACCCAGCCCTGCCGTGGGACAGCTGCATGTCTAGAGTGGGTGAAGCTGCCGAGCAAGTGTCTGTGGCATCATGGTGCTGGGGCCGTGTGGGCCCTGGCCTGGCCTGGCTCTGATGGAAGTGTCCAGGTTTGATGCCTCTTGCCCAGAGGGCATGGGACTGGATGGACAAGGGCCTTCCTGCATCCTCCACTCCACTGGGCTGGGTGCCACAGAGGGGCTGAGGGGCTCACACTTTGGATGTGGGAGGATGCCCCCATCCGGCCATTGTGCCACGCATGGTGAAGGGGGCTGCTTGGGTGACTCCTGGCTGCCTGCCGCCCGTTCGTCCCCACTCGCACTGACGGAAAGAAAGCTCACCCTCGTAAAGGCTGCAGAGTCAGTGCTTACTGAAAACATTCCCGGCCATGGGAGACACAATCTTTGTGAGGTGCAAGAGGAAGGGCCTTGCTGAGTCGGGACATCAGTGGCAACCATGGCCCAGGGTCCACCTGCCGCAAGCATGCAGCGACAGAGGGAGAAGGCCTTGGCGTGGCCCCCTCAGAGGCCCTGGTGGCTCAGGTGGCACTCGCCTTCTGGGAGTGTCTTGGGTGTCTCTTGGCAGCACAAGACCACAAATGCCTGGGGCCAGCGTGGGGTCTCTTTGTCACTGTGCAAAGCTGGAGTCTCTTTGCAACTGGCCCCGTCGTCCCATAGAATTGATGTTTGTGGATTCTTTTAAATGAACATAGTGACTGACCCTCCAAGTCTAAGCTCGAGAAACTTACGTTTGTCTTATCTGAGTTCCTTTCTCAGGAAACTGACCGACCATCAGGCCCCGCAGCTGGCATCAAGGAGCTGAAATTCCCCAGATCACTGCAGCTGGACAGTGAGACTCTGGACCCCTCGCCCTCAGGGCTGCCTGCTGACGACCCCTCTTCCTCACCCTCCTTGGTTCCTGTTCTCTTACACGTTGTTACATTGTTTCCCGGCTACATAAGCCCCTGATTCTAGCTGGCTGAGGAGATGGATTTGAGGCTGAGCTGGCGTCCCCTCCGCTGCAGTGCCTGAGTCAAGCCTGCCTTCCTGGAGTGCCCGTTTTTCAGTGACTGGCTTTCTGTGCAGTGAGCTCCAGGGAGAGCGGGCTGGGGGTTCTCCTGGAGAATATTGACAAGAGTCGGTGAAATTCACTCTTTTAGGTGTCCCGTTCCAGGACTTTTGACAAAGGCAGAGTCGTGTAACCACTTCCACAGTGTTTGGGTCTGAGAGGGCTCTGGTCTCAGGGTCTCAAGGGAAACCGTCCTGGAGTGGTGGTGACTCCAGGCCTAATGCACACATGCCGGCCTCGTGTGTGTGAGTGTATGTGTGTGATACATGCACACCAGCCTCGTGTGTGAGTGTGATACATGCACGCCGGCCTTGTGTGTGTGTGTGAGAGATACATGCACACTGGCCTTGTGTGTGTGTGTGAGATACATGCACGTCAGCCTCGTGTGTGTGTGTGAGAGATACATGCACGCCGGCCTCGTGTGTCTGTGATACATGCACGCCAGCCGTGTGTGTGTGTGAGATACATGCACGCTGGCCTCGTGTGTGTGTGATACATGCACGCCAGCCTTGTGTGTGTGTGTGAGATACATGCACGCCGGCCTCGTGTGTGTGTGATACATGCACGCCAGCCTTGTGTGTGTGTGTGAGATACATGCACGCCGGCCTCGTGTGTGTGTGATACATGCACGCCAGCCTTGTGTGTGTGAGATACATGCACGCCAGCCTCGTGTGTGAGTGTGATACATGCATGCTGGCCTTGTGTGTGTGTGTGAGAGATACATGCACACTGGCCTTGTGTGTGTGTGTGAGATACATGCACGTCGGCCTCGTGTGTGTGTGTGAGAGATACATGCACGCTGGCCTCATGTGTGTGTGATACATGCACGCCAGCCTTGTGTGTGTGAGATACATGCACGTCGGCCTCGTGTGTGTGAGTGTGTGTGATACATACATGCCGGCCCCATGTGTGTGATACATGCACGCCGGCCTTGTGTGTGTGTGATACATGCACGCCGGCCTTGTGTGTGTGTGTGTGTGATACATGCACACTGGCCTTGTGTGTGTGTGAGATACATGCACGCTGGCCTCGTGTGTGTGTGATACATGCACGCTGGCCTTGTGTGTGTGTGTGAGATACATGCACACCAGCCTCGTGTCTGTGTGTGATACATGCACGCCAGCCTCGTGTGTGTGTGATACATGCACACCAGCTCGTGTGTGATACATGCACGCTGGCCTCGTGTGTGTGTGCGATACATGCACACCAGCTCATGTGTGTGAGATACATACACACCAGCTCATGTGTGTGTGTGATACATGCACACCAGCTCGTGTGTGTGAGATACATGCACACCAGCTCGTGTGTGTGATACACACCAGCTCGTGTGTGTAACACGTGCACACCTGTGTGTGATACATGCACACCAGCTTGTGTGTGCGATACATGCACACCAGCTCATGTGTGTGTGTGACACGTGCACACCTGCTGTGTGTGTGATACATGCACACCAGCTTGTGTGTGTGATACATACACATCAGCTCGTGTGTGTGTGACACGTGCACACCTGCTGTGTGTGTATAACTGTGAGTGTGTAAGACATCAGTCCAGAACTAGCTGGGCGCAGCTTTGGCACTTTTCCTGCCTGGACGCGGTTATTTACCACTCCATTCTGCATTAAATGCTGCGGTTGCTGCTGCCACACTGGGCTGAGTGAGCCAGCGAATTTCCTGGTGGCCTGCTCCATGTGCCTGGCACAGTAGAGACTAGAAATGTGCACAGTTATTTCTGCCATGACAACGTGAGCCCAAGACGGAGAGGCATGGAGGTTGATAACACTGTTGTTAGTGGGTTTGCATTTGGAAAAATCAACTCTGACCAAACCTCACTGCAAAAAGAGTGCCTAGTGAATCAAATGTCTAAATACAAAAAGAAAACACTGAAAAGTTAGTAGAAAATATAAAACTTATGTGGAGGAATGGTAATTTTCTTAATTTCAAAATTATGAACGCCACAAAAATGTCAACACGTTTGACTAGAGAAAAACTTAAAAAATGTTCAGTGATGAAAAAAATTCACAACTAAAGCCAAAATGAAAAGATGCTGGTAGTAAAAGTCTGGTTATAGGTGGTACAGATGCCAGAGGCAGGGATGTGTGCCCATGACATCCGAGCAGAGGGAGAGGAGGGCCTGGCTGCTCCCACCCACAGAAACGCTGCCCGTGAGCAGGAGCGAGCGAGAACAGTGCAGAGTGCGTGCCGCCCACCTGAAGTGAAGATAAGAACCAGTGTTGAAAAAGTTGTGTTGATAACCTTTTTGGGTATTCAAAAAATATTTTTAAAATTTAGAGTCAGTAAAATTCACTCTTTTTGGTGTCCAGTTCCAGGACTTTTGACAAAGGCAGAGTCGTGTAAACACTCCCACAGCCAAGACGCAGACCAGCAGCCTCAGCTCTGCTCTCCATCCCTGCGATGCGCCTTTGCCAGAAGTCGCAGAAATGGGATTGTTCTGACATAGCCTTTTAAGGCTGGCTCCTTTTATGTATGATAGAAAAACACATCTGGGGGTCGCCATCCAATGCCTGTCCACAGTTTACGGAAGTGAAGGGCATCTGCAGTGTTTTCAGGTTTTGGTGATTATGGATACGGCTGTCATAAACATTTGCATACAAGTTTCTGCGTGAACGTAAGTTTTCATTTCTCTTGAGGTGTGGGATTCCTGGGTCGTATGGTGTACTTTTAACTTTCCCAGACACTGCCAAGCTGTTTTCCACAGTGGCTGGTCAAGTTTTTCATTCCCACCTTAATATAGGAGGGTCCCAGTTGTTCTGTGTGCCTGTTACCACCTGATATTGTCAGGTGTTTTTTTTCTTTTTTTGCGTTGGAATAGATGTGTCGTTGTTTTAATTGGCATTTCCCCAAAGGGTGAAAATGTTGGGCATCTTTTCATGTGTTTATTTGCTGCCTGTATGTCTTCTTCCGTGAAGCATCTGTTTAAATTTTTGGCCCATTTTGCTTTCGGGTTTTTCTTATTCAGTGTTGAGGCTTCTTTACTCAGTCTTTTGTCAGATATCTGTGTAATATTCAAATGTTTTCTTTCTCTCTTTGTTTCCCCTTTTGATTCACCTTGAGGGTGTCCCTTGTACAACGAAAGTTTTAATTTTGATAAAGTGAATTTGGATTCATTTTCTTTTCTTCTTTTTTGAGATGGAGTCTCCCTCGGCCACACAGACTAGAGTGCAATGGTGCAGTCTCTGCTGACTGCGACCTCTGCCTCCCGGGTTCAAGTGATTCTCCTGCCTCATCACTTGAATCTGGGAGGCAGAGGTTGCAGTGAGCAGTGATTCTCCTGGGATTACAGGAGTGTGCCACCACACCCAGCTAATTTTGTATTTTTAGTACACATGGATTTTTGCCATGTTGGCCAGGCTGGTCCTGAACTCCTGGCTTCAAGTGACCTGCCCGCCCCGGCCTCCCAAAGTGCTGGGATTACAAGTGTGAGCCACTGTGCCTGGCTGATTTTTTTTACTTCATTTTCAACTGTTGCACAGCCTTTTATTCTTGAGATAAATCCCACTTGGTCATAATGCATCATTTATTTATTTTAATTTATCATAATGTATCATTTATCTGTATCCCAGACATTTTGATATGCTGTATTTTCATTTTTACTTAGTTCAAAAGGTTTTCTGATTTTTCCTGACACTTCACTTTTGACCCATGGATTATTTAGAGGTGAGTGCTTCAAATACCTGGGGATTCAGCAGACATCTTAGATTTATTGCAATATGAATTACACACCACAGTTCGTCAGTTTTTTCGCTTGTGGATGATGCCTTGGGGTCACAACTAACAAGTGTTTGCCTAATCCACGGTCACAGATATTTCTCTCGTATTTTATCCTAAAATCTCAATCTTTGTGTCAATTTTTGTAGAAAATGTGAATTATGAATAGTTTTATCTGCATACAGACGTACAGTTGTTCCAGCGCCATTTGTTGAAAAGACTGTCACTCCCACTGAACCAACTTTGCACCTTTAAAACAACCAGTATCCTATAGTTGTATGGGTCTACTTCTGGTCTCCATATGTTTCGTTTCCTTACGGGTTCATTCATTTACCAATTCAGCAGGGCCTCGGTGCTGTAGCGTTATGGGAAACCTTGAAATCAGGCAGTGCAAGCCCGTTAGCTTTGTTATTCTTACTCAGATTTATGTAGAATACCCTAGTTCCTTTGCCATTCCGTAGAAAGGTTAGAACCAGCTCACTGGTGTCTATGAAAAACCCTGCTAGAATTTTGGGTGGGACTGTGTTACATCTGCAGGTCACTTTGGGGAGAGCAGGCATCTTAATTAACTGTCTGTGGCTTCCATGTGGCCCAGTCGATGAACCTGCTGTGTTGTCTGCATGTTTTTGATTTATTTTATCAGGGGTTTATAGATTTCCACATACAGATCTTGCACATACGCTGTTAGATTTACCCCTCATGGTTCATTATTAAGTGCTATTGTAAATGGCACTTGAAGCAATTTCGTTCTTAGGGCGTAGAAGCAAAATGGCTTTTTCTGTTCTGATCTTGCATTCTGTGAGCTTCTAAACTCAGTTATTAATTCCAGGAGTTTTTCTGTAGTTTCCTTGAGATTTCCTACTTAATTATTTTGTCTGGGAATAAAACGTTTAATTCCTGACTTTCCAATCTGTACGTTTTCATTTTTTCCTCCCTGTTTTGTGCTGTTTGGGACTTCCGCTAAGACTGATGAGTGATGAGTGGCTGTCCTTGCCTCGTTCCTTATTTTATGTGGGAGCGTTCCGGCTTCCACCATCGGGATGTCGGCTGTAGATTTTTGTAGTCGCTCTTTGTCGGACTGAGTTCGTTCCCTTCTGTTCCTTGGTTGCTGACGGGTTTTTCTCAGAAGTCCACGGTGAACTTTGTCAAGTGCCTTCCTCACATCTGTTGAGATGTCCATTGCTTTTTCTTTTTCAGTCTGCTGGTGTGTTGAATGACGTTGATTCATTTTCAGTTCTGCTGAAATTGCTTTCGATTGCTGCCCAGACTTTCATTCCTGGGCTCATTCCCACTCGGTAGCATTGGATCATTTTCTTTATTCAAAAAAGGACTTATTGCAGTATAAGTTACATACCATAAAACTCACCCATTTAGGTGTCCAAGTCAATGATTTTTGAAGTAAAGGTATTGAGTCACACGTCATTGCCTCAGTCCAGCTTTAGAACATGTAATACTGGACTTGGTTTGCTCATATTTTGTCAAAGATTCTTACATCTCTGTTCATCACGGATAATATCTCTTTTCCTTGTAATATTTCTGTCTGCTTTTAGTATTAGAGTAACGATGGCTCATAAAATAGGTAAGAATTATTCTATCTTGTCATATTTTCTGGAAGAGATTGTGTGAAATTGGTATTTCCTTTCTAAATATGTGATTAGAATTAACCAGTGAAACAATGTGGGCTGATTTTTGGAAGGTTTTTAGCTAAGCATTCAAGTTTGTAATAGATATGGGACTATTCAGGAAACATATTTTTTCTTTAGTGACTTTTGTTAGTTTGCTTCTTTTAAGGAATTGGTGTATTTCTTCTAAGGTGTCAAATTTATGGGCACAGAATCGTTCCTGGTATTTCCTTACTACTTTTAAGTGTCTGTAGACTCTGAAGCGATTTCATCTTCTTAATTTCTGATGTTGGTAATTTGCGTCTCCTCTCTCTTTTTTTTTTTTTCTGTTCAACATTCTGGCTAAAGATATGTCCACTTTATAGATCTTCCTTAAGAACTGGTTATGTCTCATCAGTTTTCTCTATTCTATGGTTTTCAGGGTTACAAACCTCTGCTCTTATGCTTATTATTTACTCTCTTGTACTTGCTCTTGTTTTTCTAGTTGTTTAAAGGAGGAAGTTAAATTATTGATTTGAGAAGTTTCTTCTTTTTGAATATAATTATTTAATGCTATGAATTTTCTACTAACCCTGCTTTATCTGTGCCCCACACATTTTGATATGCTGTATTTTCATTTTTACTTAGTTCGAAAGGTTTTCTGATTTTCCCTAACGCTTCACTTTTGGCCCATGGATTATTTGGAGGCGAGTGGTTTAATTTTCAAATATTTGGGGGATTCATCAGATTTTTTTTTGTTATTGAGTTTAATTCTGATAGGATCAGAGAACACACTTTATACAATTTCTATTTCTAAAAATGTGTTTTTTAACTTTTGTTAAGACTTATTTTGTGGCCTAGAGGATGTTCTCTGCTGGCGAACGTTTTATGTACACTTGCAAGGAAGCGTATTCTGATGTCGTTAGTGAATGATTTGACCAAATTAAGCCAAATTGAGTGGCTGTGTGGTCAGGTTTTCTGTATTCCAGCTGCACGAACATTCACGTGGAGATCTGTGTGTGGACATATGTTTACGTCGCTCTTAGATATGTACTTAAGAGTGGACTTGCTCTTCCTGGCCTCAAGTGGTGTCTTCTGGAAATCTCCGTTGAACATTTTGACAAACGGCCAAACTTTCTCAAAGCAGTTGCGCCATTTTCCAGTCTATCAGCAAAACCCGAGAGTTCCCATTTCTCCACATCCTCACCACTTTTTCATTTTTTAAAGACAGAGTCTTGCTCTGTTGCCCAGGCTGGAATGCGGTGGTGCCATCTCAGCTCACTGCAACCTCTGCCTCCCGGGTTCAAGTGATTCTCCTGCCTCAGCCTTATAAGTAGCTGGGATTACAGGTGGGTGACACCACGCCCGGTAGTTTTTGTATTTTTAATAGAGATGGGGTTTCACCATGTTGGCCAGACTAGTCTCGAACTCCTGACCTCAGGTGATCTGCCTGCCTCAGCCTTCCAAAGTGCTACGATTACACTGCACCTAGCCTGTTTCGTTTTTATAACTTCTGTTTCTTTGCTGAGATTTCTATTTTTCCATTTATTTCAAGAGGATTTGTCTTCCTAGTGCTGGCTTCAGTCGACTGTCTCTTACTGAAATGCTGGTGTCCCTGGGTCTTCTTGTGATGAGTGATTCTTAACTCTTATCTTCTTTCACGGGCTTTAGTTCCAATGACAGTTCAGTTCTTGCAAAGCTCTTCTGTGTCATTCTTCTGGTGCTGCTGGGACTCCCACTGAAACCTAACCCTACCCCTAACTCTGTTAGTGCCACCTGCCGGCGCCGAAGACGCCTTCCTGGCTGTCTGGTGTCGCTGCCTTCTGTGGTGGTAGCACAGCTCGGCCGACGGGCCCAGGTGGAGGGCAGAGACGCAGGGCTTCTCTGAGGCCCTGCGATGAGCAGGTTGGACCACCTGCCTGATGGCTGGGTCTAGTCCCATCAGCAGCTATCAGTGTGGGAGGAAACCCACAGCCTCCACCCTCCCCATGTCTGGTGATGCTCAGGCTGGCAAGGCATTGGCTGCTCTGCTCACCGCTGAGAGGCGGAGATGCTGATTCGCTCTGGAAAGACTGTGACTGGCCCCATTGGCCCCAGGAGGTCCTTGGCAGCTCCCACCTCTGTATATGTGACTCTGGGCTGTGACCTCCGCCATTGCCCCAGCTAAGCAGTGAGAGCTTGCTGAAGTCCAGAAGGCTGTGGGACCATGAGGGCAGCTCTCTGGATCCTGGGACTTGGGCCTCTTCTTCTCAATCTCTGGGCAGTCCCCACTGGTAAGTTTCTCCTTCCTTCATCCATGGACTCTTGGGAGGCGGCGGCTCTGTTGAGGCCCAGGCCCTTGGGCATGAGTGTGTCCTCTACTGTGAATGTTTTATGACCCGCCGTCTGCCTGGGTCTCACTCAGCCCAGAGTGGGTGGGACATGCTGGGCCAGGAAGCGGGTGGCTCCACATGGCTGGATCCCTGTGAGCTCAGGGCCCCCAGCCGCTAACCCACTGCTTGGAACCCAGGGTGCAGGGCTGTGTCACACCCTGGACAGGCCCAGTGTCTGGTCCCAATGACCCCGATCAAGAGTCCTGATGGGTCCTGTGGGGGCTGCTCCATCTGTGTCCCCTGCAGCAGGGCTGGGATCCCAGGAAGGACATGAGAGGGCTGGCTGCATCTGGCAGTGAGGTTGGGCATGGGGTCCCATGGAGATACAGCACCCAGTTGGGGACACTGCAGTCTGGGGCAATGTGGAAGGGCTGCTGGGTCAGGGGCAGGCAGTTGTAGAGACAGGGTGTAGCCAGAAGGAACAGCAGGAGAGGATGGAGGTGAGAGGGAGCCCTGGGGACCTGCATACGTGGGCATGGAGCCATGACAGGGTGGGCATGTGAGTGAAGGGCTGGGCGGGAGGCAGGGGAGGGTGTTCTCGAGGCCCAGGAACACTTCACTGGCAGGGTGGGGCCAAGGTGTGCAGCAGGGTGGTGACCCAGGGCTGGACAGAGCTGCACCCCCCATGGTGGGGTGGGAGACTGTGGGCAGCTGCAGAAAGGGCGGAGGGATTTGGAGAAAAGGCAGCAGTGTAGTCACAGCTGGGATCTCTGGGGTTGAAGGGATTTGCTTTTGTGTTGAAGATCGAAAGCACAAGGGCCAGAATTCTCTACAACAAGAAATAGCTTTAGAAAATATAAAATAAAAAGCTATTCACAGCTGGGTGTGGTGGCTCATGCCTGTAATCCCAGCACTTTGGGAGGCTGAGACAAGTGGATCACCTGAGGTCAGGAGTTCAAGACCAGCCTGGCCAAGATGGTGAAACTGAGTCTCTATTAAAAATACAAAAATTAGCCAGGCATGGTGGTGGGTGCCTGTAATCCCAGCTACACCGGAGGCTGAGGCAGGAGAATCACTTTGAACCCTGGAGGTGGAGGTTGCAGTGAGCTGAGATCGTGCCATTGCACTCCAGCTTGGGTAACAGAGTAAGACTCTGTCTTAAAAAAAAAAAAAAAAAAAAAAAAAGATGGCAGACACCAGTACACATCCATGTCCTGAGAGGACGCAGGTGGGAGGGAGGTGAGGAGGATGGGGGTGTGCAGGGACAGATGAAGACTGAGGCAGGGGATTTAAGGCTCCCCGGGAGGTGGGAGGGAAAGGTCTTTGTCTTGGACCAGGCGGGGTCCCCCCTGCCACCGACTGCCATTTGGGAGGCTGTCTCCTGGGGTCCTCCAGGGGCCTGGAGGCTGCTCTGGGACCACATGGCTCCACCCACATGGACTCCTTCCTAGTGGTTGCTTCATTTCCCTCGGGTGGGAGTGAGGCAGGAGGGAAGGAAAGGGGCTGTTTTGATGTAGGGGTGCAGAGGCCTGGAGAGGGCGGTTAGAGGTGCCTCCCTGGGGGGTGGGAGAGATGGTGCTGGGGCAGCTGAGATGCTGAGACCGTGGGGGGTGAGATCCTGGCTGGAAGCCCATATGGGTCGGTAGGGGGGCTGGGTTTGGTTGTAGTGGGAGGGCAGGCATGGGAGGTTTTCCTGGATGCTCCGGGTTGCAGAGGACAGGAGGGAGGGGTGAGCAGCCCTGGACAAGGGGTGTGGACAGCCACATGGGCGGGGCAGGGGGTGACAGTGGTGGGCTGGAGACCACAGGGCCTGCAGTGGAAATGGGGGAATGATGCTTGGGAGGCAGAGGGTGGGTGGGAGCTGCGGACCCAGGAGGACAGGGGACTTCCATGGCTGGGGGTGGGGTCCTCCAGGATGTTGGGGCTCCAGAGGGCCAGGGAGGGGAGCAGCCCCAGGGAAGACACATGGAGTGAAGGTTTCTCTCTTCTGAGAGCCTCACCTATCGCCTCTCTGGGACCGCTTAAGCTTGGTGGGTGAGAGGAACCCGACTTGCTGCTGAGGCCTTGCAGGCCGTTCACAGGGCTGTTGTGCTGTCATCCTCCTCCTGAGCCTGGGTTGGTTCTGGCCCCTCTAACTGGACCTGTCTGTCTGAAGGTGGACCAGGTGCTCTGAGGCTGGCGTACAGACCCAGCACATGCGACGGAGTGGTGATGGTCCGACACCAAGGGACGTGGGGACATGTGTGCAGCCAGGACTGGTCGCTGGCAGAGGCCTCTGTGGTGTGCAGGCAACTGGGCTGCGGCTCTGCCGTGGGCGCCCCCAAGTACGTCCCGCTGCCTGGAGAGATGGCCCCGCCCTGGCTCCACAACGTGTCCTGCCAGGGCAATGAGCCCTCTCTCTGGGAGTGCAGCCTTGGCTCATGGAGCCAGAGCCCATGCCCCCACGCATGGGTGGTGGTCGCTCTGTGCTCCAGTAAGTAGGGCGGAGTGAAGGGGTGGGGCTGGGGGAGGAGGAGGGGGAGGACAGGGAGGGTCTTGGAGGGGGTGGGGGCAGGGGGTGTGGAGCTCTCTCTGGCAGGGACTCCTTGCTGGGCACTGGAATCATCCTGACTGTAAGATTCAGCTCTGAAAAAACCACTGCCAGGGAGATTCAGAGAGTGGACTAGGGAAGCAGAGGGCAGCCCAGGCTCGGAGAGGTATCAGCCGAGGTGAGCCTGGGGTCTATGGATGCCCGAGGCCCACGCAGGCAGCTGGTAGTGATTTCTTACACAATATCAGAAAGCTACATGCTTTTCCGTCCAGGTCTGGCTGGAGGGTCCTCAGCTGTCCCTGGGCACTTTATGTGGCTGTGAGGACTCCCTCATAGTGTCCTGCCTCTGAAGCTGAGCCACCTGGCCAGGACCTCCTATTTTAGGGTCCAGTATGAAGGGACCCTGCAGGGACCCTAGTTTCAGGAGACCCACAGCAGAGCATGAAGCTGGGCACAGGGGCCTCTCTCAGCCCGTGCCCTGTGTGACGGCCCGGTCACCTGCCCCTGAAGCTGGCCCTGACTCAGCCCAGCACTGCCCTCCCTGAAAAAAGGAGCTGCCTGGTCTCAGGCCCAGGGTGGACTGCCATGGCCAAATGGAAACATCTGGAGTCACCCAGGCTCCAAGCGACCATGTGGCCAGCTGGGTCCACACCTTATGGCAGGCGGCCTGTACTCCGCAGATGGCACTTTTCGGGAGCTTCGGCTGGTGCAGGGCCAGAGTCCCTGCGCAGGACTCCCCGAGATCAGAAACGTGAATGGGGTGGACCGCCTCTGTGGCCTGCATGTGGAGGAGGCCATGGTGTTCTGCCGGGAGCTGGGGTGTGGCCCTGTGCTCCAGGCCCCCCGCCGGGATGTGGGCGTCGTCACAAAGTACCTGGCCTGCAAGGGTACCGAGCCCACCATCTGCAGCTGCAGACTGGACAACAACTTCCGCAGCGGCTGCGACCCACGGCTGGACGCAGAGGTGGTCTGCTCAGGTGAGGCCACCACCCGACGCTTCCAGTGACCCCTGGGTAATGCTGGGCCTGGATGTGCTGGGGCTGGACTTGGGGAGAGCAGGGGGAAGTGGGGTGGGTGTTCCCACGGACGGGCCCCCTGTTCTGCCTGAGACATTGGGTGTAGACGTGGTGCACCTGTACGCTGGAGGGAAAGGGCCTCAGTTCTCATGGTGGGTTCTCAGGAGAGTGGAGCTGAGTTTCTGGTGGCCCCACAGAGGAGTCCTGGCTCAGAACCCGCAGGCCATCTGGGGGTCCTGGCTGCTGGGGCAAGTGTGAGCTGTTTCAGCTGTGATTGCTGCACGTCTAACATGGATCTGGGGTGGGTAGAAGACACTTCCTCCCAGCCCTGCCTCCGTTGTGTGTAAGCTGCCCTGGCTGCACAGCTCCTGGCCTTGTAAGTATGAGGAGCAGCTGAAATGAGGTGGACAGTCACCTGTGGCAGAGGTGGTGCTCCAGAGGTCACCACCAGAGAGGGTGGTGCTCAGTGGACCAAGGGGTGCCTTGACCTGGCCTCAGGGATTGCAGAAGGTGTGGATGTCATGGCCGTGAACAGAGGCTGTGAAACAGGTTTGCACCTGCAGAAGGTGACCCTGACCCTGACCTTGGTGATGCGGCTGAGGGCGCTTCTCTGCTCTGGGTGCAGGATGGAAGGGCCTCTGGCTGCAAGTTCCTCCCTGTGCTCGGTAGACCCTCTGCCTAGATGCAGATGGTTTTTCCTGGTGGAACCCTTCAACAGATTGAGGCTCAGAGCCGAGCTATCACCTGATGACACGTGTCTTCTGCCTGAGAGAATGTCTGCCCCCAGGACACACCGAAGCCCGGCTGGTGGGCGGTGAGCACCCCTGCACCGGGCGCCTGGAGGTGAGGCGGGGCCTGACGTGGGGCACTGTCTGCGACATGGACCTGGACTTGGCCACAGCCCACGTAGTGTGCCGAGAGCTGCAGTGTGGGGTGGCCGTGTCCACACCTGGGGGCGCCCGCTTTGGCCAGGGCTCCGGGCCGGTGTGGACAGAGGCCTTCCACTGTGCGGGCAATGAGTCACTGCTGTTCTACTGCCCACGGGGGCGCGGGAGCCAGTGTGGGACCGGCCACAACGCGGGGCTCAGGTGCTCAGGTGAGGTCCTGTGTGTGGGCTCTGAGGGCTCAGCCCTGCCTTATTCTCTGCCAGATCCCTTCCTGCCCTAAAGGTGCCTCTGGCCAGTAGGTGTGGGTGCTTTTGATGTTTGCTTCTGTTGGTTGAAAGAAGCGGAGTGAAGAGGCTGGGTGTAGGGTGAAGTGCCCAGGCAGCAGCTCAGATCAGATTCTTCTGCAGAGCTGTGTGGGCTGGATGCTGACACAGAGGAGGGCGGGGGAGCTGGAGAGAGCAAGGCTGGGCTCTGTGCCCATCCCACTGGGTGTGAAGGAAGGAAATGACCACAGACAGCCATGTACCAGGTCTGTGTCCCCAGCCACACTGACTCCTCCTCTCCCCCAGAGTTCAGGCTGGTCAACGGCAGCAGCAGCTGTGAGGGCCGCGTGGAGCTCCAGGTGCAGGGGTCCTGGGCGCCCCTCTGTGCCACCCACTGGGACATAGCAGACGCCACCGTCCTCTGCCACCAGCTCAACTGTGGCAACGCGGTGGCCGCACCTCGAGGAGGCCATTTTGGGGGCGGGGACGCTGCCATCTGGCCTGACGCATTTCACTGTGAGGGGACAGAGTCCTACTTGTGGAATTGCCCAGTAAGCACCCTGGGGGCCCCGGCCTGTGGCCCGGGAAACTCAGCCTCCACAGTGTGCTCAGGTGGGTGCAGCCAGGACTGTGGAGGAGGAGGAGGGTGAGCGAGAGCTGTGGACAGAGGGTGCAAGGAAGGACAGAGGGGCTGAGAGGGACCGGCCTGCCTGGGGGTGGTGGTCCGGGGTCCCTCCTCCTGACACCCTGAGGCCCCCGTGCGTCCCCATCCCCAGGTCTCCCCCACGCCCTGAGGCTGAGGGAAGGACAGAGCCGCTGTGACGGCCGCGTGGAGGTCTCCCTGGACGGCGTGTGGGGCCGCGTCCTGGACGACGCCTGGGACCTGCGCGGCGCGGGCGTGGTGTGCCGGCAGCTGGGGTGCGGAGGGGCCCAGAGAGCCTACGACGCGCCTGCCCCCAGCCGCGGGTCCGTCCAGGTGGCGCTGAGCCGCGCGCGCTGTGTGGGCACCGAGACCCGCCTGACCCAGTGCAACGTGTCCGCGACGCTGCGGGAGCCCGCGGGGACCTCGCGGGACGCCGGCGTGGTGTGCTCGGGTGAGGGTGGAACCGCGTCCCCCTTGGGCCGTGGCCGCGCGGCGCGGGGCGCCCTGACTCTGTCTCTCCGCAGGGAGCCTCGGGGTGCGGCTGGCCGCGGGGCCGGGGCGCTGTGCGGGGCGCGTGGAGGTGCTGCGCGGGGGCGCGTGGGGCACCGTGTGTGACGACGCCTGGGACCTGCGGGACGCGCACGTGGTCTGCAGGCAGCTGGGCTGTGGCCGCGCCCTGAGCGCCCCGGGGGCCGCGCACTTCGGAGCCGGGGCAGGGCGCATCTGGCTGGACGAGCTGGGCTGCCAGGGCCACGAGTCTGCGCTGTGGCAGTGCCCGTCGGCGGGCTGGGGCCAGCATGACTGCAGCCACAAGGAGGACGCCGGCGTCTTCTGCTCAGGTGTGCGGCCGGACATCAGATCTGCTGCTTTACTACATGTGATCACGTGCACCTGAGCTCCAGAATTCCTTTAAAATACCAGGAGCTGTTCTCTTCCTTGAACGCAGAACTTCCTCGGTGTATTGGGCGGGCTTCCTCTTGCTGGCAAAGGGCAGGACACAGCGCTTTGGGTCCTGTGCCTGGACCTGGTCAGCTCCCTGCTGCTGGTTGTCCCTGGAAAAGCCCTGGCTGGGCTCATTTTCTGCTGTTGCCAGCTTAAGCGTGCTTGGTCTCTATCCGGGATTCCCGGGTATAGATTTGTTTTGAGATGGTCTCACTGTTTCCCAGGCTGGAGTGCAGTGGCACAATCACAGTTCACTGCAGTCTTGACCTCCTGTACTCCAAGGATCCTTCAGCCTCAGCCTCCCCAGCAGCTGCGACCACAGGAAGGAGGCACTGCCACTGGCTTCAGATTCTTAATTTTGATCCGTATTTGGTGATATTTTGTGTACTGGAGACCTTTTTGCAGACTGAGCAAGGGTGTGTTCTCTGGAGAGGTCTGTGAGCTGGTGACAGGCTCCCCACAGTGTTTCCAGCGACCTCGGGGAGAGGCTGGACTCCTGCTGAGCCTCCAGCAGCTCATCCAAGTGTGGGCTCTTCTCATTGGCTTTGGTTTATATTTTTCTTTAGGAACATTTTCTGCAGCGATTTCTTGGATTATTACGTTTATTTCCATTACCGTGTTCTTTGTATGCAATGCTTGAGTCTTGTGAGGCTGAGTCTTCCCTATGCTTCTAAAATGATTTTTGGCATGACTCTTTGCCCACTCATTCTCAGGGCGTTTCTCCAGGTGGCACCCATGTCACGATCTGGTTTCTGTCGGTTCTGCTCTCCAGTCCCTTGTGTGTTTTGCCCCGTCCGTCCATCAGTCAGTCAGACAAGGAGCCTCCTCACCTCGTCCGTCGCCCGTTCACCTCATCTTAGTGTCTTTTTTCACAGAAGCTTGTTTTCTTCTAATGACGCTCTGCTCTGCTCTCATAAAAGGCCGTCTTTGGCATCTCCGTGAGAATGACAGGTCATTTTCTAGAACATTCTGCTAGTTCCCATGGAAAGTGGCTGTTTTAGCCTTTCCTCTGCTTCTCCCACGTGGTGCTTGCTCTCTAGGTTGCAGCATTTCCCTCTGGTGGCTGCGTCATCTGTTTATCTGTCTGGGAAGCTTCACCCTGGCGACCCCACCTGAGCCAGCATCTGCAGGCACCAGCCGTCAGACCGTCTGCTGGAGCCAGCATGTTGGGCGCGGTCAGTTCAATTCCTGGGGCTGCCTCTTTTTCACCTCAGCTATGCCTTGGTCACTTCTGACAGGGCTGCATCCCCAAGAGGGGCAGGGCACTGGTGGCTCCTGCTCTCCCATTTGTAGGCACGTGGACAGGCTGATGTCCAGGGTGCAAACTTGCATTGTTTTGGGAAAGCAGATGAGATGGTATCTGAGGGGCAGGAGCCGTTTTATTTTATTTTTCTAGACTCAGATGAGATACAGGAGCCATTTTAAAGAAGCATTAGAACAGTAACTTCTGGATGTAGGTAGAGGAGTTCTCTTGATAGACTTTACAAAAATTGTTGATAATATCTTTGACAGAGTGAGATATAAAGTATGTTACATGGTGTTAAAATTTGAGTCCAAAAAATTTGAACAACAAAACAAATCTAATCCCGACATCCAGACAGTGTCTAATGTGTGTGATCTGCTTTCGAAATTAATGCTGAGTGACTAGCGCCGCCACAGACAGCATGATGTGTGTGGCTCCAATTTCTGTGGTCACTGCCTTTGGCTGTGCTCAGCCTGGCGGTTCTCTGTCCCAGCTGGGCTTCCTCAGAGCCTTCAGTCACTTCATGGTTAGGTGGAGCCCCGCTTCTGGGCCCGGGCTGCAGGCAGGAGTGGTGAAGGCTCTGTTTCTGTCATGATCCAGCCTTGGTTCCAAAAGTGACAGCAGAGTTGGCCTAGGAGCAGGCACAGAGTCTCGGAGCCTATTCCACTGGCCCAAGTCCCAAGCCAGCTGGGATTCAAGGGCTGGGGCACGGACTCAGTGAGAGGGTGTGGGAGCAGGCTGCGGATACTTGTGGACACTTTTTGATTCTATTACGATGTGTTTCTTTCCAGTACTTTTTCTAAGCGTATTTTAATTAGATGTGATCCTTTCAGTTGCAATTTATACCTAACGTTCTCCAATTATCCTGGCCTAGGCATTTAAAAATGTTATTACAGTGCTTCATGGCCTAGCTCTAAAGGATCATCAAACCTGCCATCAGGCCACTGTATCAGTCTTTTGGACTTTGCATTGCTCCAAGGGTAACATGGAACATATCTGGGCACTGGTCAGTCAGGACTGACGCTCTCTGAACACGGGGCTGAGGCACACGCATACAGCCACGCTCTCTGAACACGGGGCTGAGGCACACGCATACAGCTGCGCTCTCTGAACACGGGGCTGAGGCACACGCATACAGCTGCGCTCTCTGAACACGGGGCTGAGGCACACGCATACAGCTGAATAATTTCTACAGTCAAGCTAGTGAACGTCCCTCCATCTCACGTGGTTACATTTGGCTTTGTAGTAAGAGCACCTAAAGTCTACCTTCCTAGCAAATTTCCAGTGTACAGTGCAATACTAGCTACATTGCCCCTGCTGCATTTGGGGTTCCAGATTTCTTCAACCTGCGTAACTGTGGACCCTTTGGCCTTCCTCCCCCCCATCCCCCGCCACCTGCCCCTGATAACCACATTCTATTGTTTTGATGCATTTGACTTCTTTTTTTTTTTTTTGCTTTCATATATAAGTGGGATTATGCAGAATTTGTCTTTTCATTCCTGGTTTATTTCACTTCACATAATGTCTGCCAGGTTTGCCCGTGCTGTCACGAAACACAGAATTCCCTTCTTGTTGAGGCTGAACAGTATTCCATGGCATAGATGTACCATATTTCTCTTTTATTTTTAAATCGACAGTCTTTGTACATCTGTATGGGATGCACAGTGGTGTTTCAATCCATGTAATGTGTATGGTCAGGTTAGGGTAATTAGCAAAGCCATCATCTCAGACGTGGATCCCTTTGCAGTGTTGGGAACATTCCACGTTCTTCCTCCACAGATCTGAAACCCCGCAATGTACTGTTAATGACGGTCATCCTGCAGTGCTATAGAATGCTAGATTTCATTGCTCTTATCCAGCTGTGATTTTGTGTCTTTACAAATCTCCTATGATTCCTCCCTCCCCGAGCCCTTCCCAACCTCTAGCACCCTCTGTTCTGCTTTTTATTTCTAGGAGATCCACCTCTTTTAAGCTTCCATTAATGAATGAGAACATGTGGCATTTAACTTTCTGTTCCTAGCTTGTTTTCCTTAACACAGTGTCCTCCAGTCCATCCACATTCCTGCAAATGACAGGATTTTATCGCTTTTTAAGGCTGAGTAGCTCGTGTGTATGCGCTGTGTTTTCGCCATCCACGTATCTGTGGTTGGACATCCACGCTGATTCCACATCTTGGCTGTTGTCAGTCGTGCTGCAGTGAACCTGGGCAGGCAGACGTCTCTGCTCTGCTGATTTCATTTCCTCTGGGTCTATACCCAGCAGTGAAATTGCTGGATTGTGCAGTAGCTCTAGTTTAAATTTTCTCAAGAGGCTCCATACTGTTTCTGTAACTGATCTCGGTGCTGGGACCCCCTGAGTTTAGCCCCCTCCTCCTGAGACTGCCCAGAGGGCCAGGCAGGGCACTCCCTGGCCTGATGTGCTTGCTTTGCAGAATCAGTGGCTCTGAGGCTTCGAGGTGGGACCTGCTGCTGTGCTGGGTGGCTGGACGTGTTCTACAATGGGACCTGGGGTGCCGTGTGCAGCAATGCCCTGAAGGACTTCTCCTTGTCCATCATCTGCAAGCAGCTGGGGTGTGGGGAGTGGGGCTGGCTGGAGAACAAGCCCTTCCCCTCCGCTGGTGCCAGCATGGGCACTGCCTGGGTAGACAATATCGAGTGTCGCAGGCTGCCCAACTCCACTCTGTGGCAGTGCCCTTCCCGCCCGTGGCACCCACACTCCTGTGACCTTCAAGAGCAGGTCTGGATTACCTGTGCAGGTGGGCATTAGAGGCCTCTGGGGGTGTCTCTAAGAGGTTTATCTTCCTGACAAGTCACTGGCAGGGGATGCTATTGAATCAGAACTTGGGCCTGGGGTGGGGGTGGGTCACAGAATGAAGGATCCACAGCCTTTGTTCTGAAGCTTCTCCCAGCACTGACGCTCTCAGAGCTGCTGTTTAACCTGCAGGATTGTCAGAGGACAGGCCACAGGCTGCTGGGGAGACCCTCAACTGCTCCTCCTCGCTCAGCTGCCCAGGTACCCCTCTGTCCTTGTCCCTGTCCCCCTGCCCACCCCGGTCCAATCCCCTTAGTGACAGCAGCCCCTTTTGCAGAGGAGGGCGCAGTGCGCTTGCGCGGGGGCCAGGACCGCTGCTCTGGGCGCGTGGAGCTCTGGCACGCGGGCTCCTGGGGCACCGTGTGCGATGACGCCTGGGACCTGGCGGACGCGGAGGTGGTGTGCCGCCAGCTGGGCTGTGGTCCCGCCGTCGCCGCCCTGGGGGCCGCCGCCTTTGGCCCTGGCTCCGGGCCGGTGTGGCTGGATGAGGTGGGGTGCCGGGGCAGCGAGGGGTCCCTGTGGGGCTGCGCTGCGGAGCGGTGGGGACGCGGAGACTGCGCGCACAAGGAGGATGCGGGCGTGCGCTGCTTGGGTGAGTGGGGGAGCGCTGGGAAGAGGGGCTCTGGTTCAGTCCTGTGGTGGTATCTGTCCCCTTTCACCTCAAGCAGATCCCCAGCACCCAGCCCTGAGGCTGCCCCAGGCATGGTTCCTCATGGCTGCTCCTGGCCAGGCTGCTTGGGACCAGACCTGTCAGCTCAAGCTGAGTGGGCTGGGCTGCTGCTGCGGTGGTCTGCGTGAGGGTCTGTGCAGCTCAGGGCTGTAGCTCCCTCCCTGTCCCGGCCCTCACATGCCACCATTTACTGCAGGTGACTCGGGGACCACAGTGCTGCCACCGCTGTCCCTGGGTAGGTGGTTTTCTCAAGCTCACGTCCCTGGTGTGTGTCCCCGCTGGGGACTGCACTGGGGCTCAGGGCTGACTATGCTGACCAGGGCACCCCCTTCTCTGATGGAAAGTTCTCTCCTTCCCCGTGCTCACCTGAGTGAATACATGGGGATCTGGGGGTGTCGGGGACAGAGGCCTCAGGCCCCTCATAGCCACTTCTCTGGGGTCTTTGCCTTGGCAGCTGGGGGGCTTGGCCCTGGAAAGCTGTGGCCCCTTGGCCACTATGTCTGTGTCCAAGGCAGAGCTGAGGGCAGTGGGCAGTCAGGACAATAAGCACATTCCACAGGCCCAACCCCTCCCCAGAGCATCACTCTGCTGCTCCTATCTGGGCCCACACACCTGGATTCTCCCACCTGCATTTTCCCGCCTCAGCCCTACACCTTTGCTTTCCACCTCTCTGCCCTGCACTCCTGCCTCCCCACCTGTGCCCTCCCAGCTGTACCCACGGTCTGGGCCTACACAGCTGGATTTGTGCACCTGTGTTCTCCCACCTGGGCCTTCCTCGCTTGTACCCACTGTCTGAGCCTGTCAGCCTGGGTTCTTCCACCTGCACCCATGACCAGGGCTCACACACCTGGATTCTCTCACCTGGGCCTCTCGTGCCGTGGCCTCAACCTGTCTCTCCAAGGAAGGAGCACCTGTTCAGGCAGCACAGAGGCCCACCTCTCCTGGGGTGCCCCCATCCCTGTGAGGCTAAGGTCCTCCCAGGCCAGGGTCACAATGGCCCAGGCAGCCCAGCTGCACAGCAGGCCCCGCCTCTCACTGTGCCCCACAGCCCCTCCCTCGGCCCCTCCACCTGCCCACATGGCCTGGGCCTTGCCTGAGTTCACCTGCCTGGTACTCGGCTCCCTCCTGGGCATCATCTCTCTGTTCCTGGGGACGAAGTGGTGCCACCGCAGAGCAGCCTGCAGGGGTAGGTAGGCGTGCCCAGGCGTGGTGAGCAGGGCCCTGGGGTAGGGAGGCTGGGGGCATGCTCTGTGGGACCCGGTCATTGCAGGTCACTGCCCTGCATGCTGAGTGGCCTTCCCCATGGTGACTGCTCAGCGACTCTCTGTGGACCCATGAGCTGTTGGGGGCTCAGGGACCCTATGTCTGAATCTTACTTTGCCCCCAAGATATGCTGGATCAAGAAAATCCACACTCCCAGGACTGCTTGGAGTGAGAACTGGCTCCAGGGTTCTGCTGACCCCCTATGACTTGTGCGCAATGGGGGTCTTCCCTGGGTGTGTTCAGAGGCTGAGACCACTGGCCCCACCCTAGGACACAGCCCTGGGTGCCCAGAGTAGCAAGTGGCCCCTGGGGGAGTCTTTGCTCTCTGTGGGGGCTGTTGACAGAGGAGCCAGGGGTGTTGGCGTGCACAGGGGCCAGGCACGGTGGGCTTAGACTGCAGGAGCATTTCTTCTAGAACATTCTGGTGTGGCCTTTGCAGGTTGTGGCATGTCAGAGCACCTGTCCTCAGAGGGTATCTATGAGGACATCGGAGCCTTCCCCATGGAGCAGAAAGATGAGGGACCTGCAGTGTCTGGGGACCTGGGCCTGGAAGAGACCTATGACGATGCAGGAGAGCCTGAGGATGCTGCTGGGGAGGAGGCAGAGGAGGCCGGGGTGCTGCTGAGCCCCACAGGTGTGCACCTCTGCGCCCTGGCGTCCATGGTGCTCTTCCTCCTGTACTGCTCCTATGCAGAGGGCTCTGCTCAGGGCAGTGCCTTCATTTAAAGTGAGGGCTGCTTCTCGTGAGTCTGTGAGTCTGTGACCCTCTCTCCTGTCTCAGGCTGGAGCATCAGGACTTCTGGCTGTCATCTGCATGTTAGGCTGCATCTCCCAGTGGGCAGATGTGGACTTAGGGAGGTCATTGGTCTATATTTGGGTGACTTTTGCAGCTGTGCAGTATCCTTCTGGCACCTTGTCCCAGTGGCTGCAGGAGGGACCCTGGGCAGCCTGGGTCGCTGTAAGAAGCCATGTCTATCTCTCCCGACCCACCGTGCCCCATCCTTGTCCCTTGGTGGCTTTGCTTCCCAGCAGGAGATGAGAACCCCTGAGGCTGTGAGAAATCGCTCAGAGCCCCAGTGGACCCTGTGTCTGTCTCCTTAAACACAGGCGGGGGTCCCGAAGCTGAGGCTGGGATGGAAGACGGTGGTGGCCTCTGCCCCAGGACATGACCTGAAGCTGACGGTGGGGATGTCAGAGTGTTGAGCGATCGGATAAACCCGGGGGGCTGGGGCCTTCACTGGCCTCACTCTCAACACAGATGTTATTAAACTCCCTTTGAACTCACCCGTCCGTCATTAATTCAGCCCAGAAACATTGAACAGACCCGCCATGGCCCAGGTTTTGTTCCGTGCCTCACCCTGGTCCTCTGTCTTCTCGTCTGAGGGTGACTTGGTGTGTTTCCAATCCAACGTTGTTTTCACCACTTTATTGAGTTGGGGTGTGGGCTGCTCCTCCTGGAACTCAGGGTTAGGGTCAGGGCCCCCAGTCAGGCAGGAGGGTCAGGGGCCCCCCAGTCAGGCAGGAGGGTCAGGGGACCCCCAGTCAGGCAGGAGGGTCGGGAACCCCCAGTCAGGCGGGAGGGTCGGGAACCCCCAGTCAGGCGGGAGGGTCGGGGGTCCCTAGTCAGGCGGGAGGGTTGGGGGCCTCCCAATCAGGCGGGAGGGTCAGGGGCCCCCAGTCAGGCGGGAGGATCAGGGGTCTCCCAGTCAGGCGGGAGGGTCAGGGGACCCCAGTCAGGCGGCCTCTTGGACCGTTCCTTTTTTCTGCTCCCATCTAACCTCCAAGGTTGGGGCCCTAAGCATAGGGTGGTTCCCCGATGAACTGTCCCTGGGGGCCCCACCTTTCATCTGAACACACAGTGCTGCAAAGGATGGTGAGGGCTCAGCTGGGGGCTTGGAGCCAGTATCTCCATTTCTTATAGCTACACTGCTCTGATAGGCCCCCAAGCTCTTCCTGACCATCCCCACTGCTGACCACACCCTTCCAGGACCTGACCTGCCAAAGATCACACCCACCCAGGACCCCCCCCACCCAGGACCCCCCCAGGATCCCCCCCAGGACCCCCCCATGACCCCCCACCCAGGACACCCCACCCAGGACACCCCACCGAGGACCCCCACTCAGGACACCCCACCCAGGACACCCCACCCAGGACCCCCACTCAGGACACCCCACCCAGGAACCCCACCCAGGACCCCCCACCCAGGACCCCCCACTCAGGAACCCCCCACTCAGAACCCCCCACCCAGGACCCCCCCACCCAGGACCCCCCACTCAGGACTCCCCACTCAGGACCCCCCCTCCCAGGACCCCACCAGGCATGTCTGCATCTTTTCTGACTTCGTCCTCTCAGTGTTCGGCACCTGGTAAAACCCGGTGAGTCCGTTGTCTGTAGGGTCTTTCGGCCGCGTGGGCCCGTCCGGCCTCTGTGTTTGCTTTGGCCTGTGGGCGGTGTGCTATGGCCTTCACTGATAGTGGCTCCGTGAGCAATGAGGACCTCAACTATGCCCCTGGGGTCTCTCTGCACACTGCCTCCCCTCCCCCAAAGCTCCTTCTCTGTCCCAACTTCCAGGGATGAGAGGGGGCCCCTGTTTGGGTCCAAGGACCCCTTTGGGTGGAGAAGATAAACTAGAAGCCCCCTTCCTCAGACAGGAAGCTCAGTGAGGGAGCCACAGCGAGGTCCACAGCATGTGGACAGGGCGTCCGGACAGAAATGTGGTGCCGAGGAGGTGTGGCCAGCTTCTTGGGGTGCAGCTGGAGCAGCTCCTGACAGAGCTGGGGGCGGAGGGCTAACCTAACGTTTCAGCATACCCTGCCCTCTGAGGACCGGCAGGGCCTCCTCTCAGGGAACCTCTGATCAAGGGTTGCCAACCTGGCTTGACTCTGTGCGAGGCATGTGCTTGGGGCCAAGGTCGGGGGTAGGGGATGTGGATCATCCCTGGGGTGGGTGGGGGAGGCATGAGAAGGTGTGTGGAGTGGGCCGTGGGGCGAGAGAAACACGGTGGCAGGAAATGGGGTGAGGTCTGAGCATGAGACATGGACCCGGAGGACACTTGTGGAGCAGAGGACCCTGGCGTCGCTGCACGTGCAGCCTTGCCCTTTGCGCTGGTCTTGGCCCTCCCATTTATTTCACTAGGTCCCCCAGCAGCAGTGTGGGGAACTCCTGGGGCAGCTGCAGGGCCCGGGCGCTGGGCTCTGGCACAAACAGCCTGGCAGAGGGGTCTGCGGTCTTCTCTGGAAATCTGTTTCCCTCTCACGCTCCTGGCCTCCTACAGAGAGGTCTAAAAACCCGAGTCGCTCTCTCCTGATCTGGCTCTCTGGTAGATCTATTGGAAATTAACCTTCATTAATTTTATGCTCCTTACAAAATAATACATCCTTAATTATTATAAATTTTAAAACAGGTCAGATGCAGTGGCTGACGCCTGTAATCCCAGCACTTTGGGAGGATCACCTGAATCCAGAAGTTTGAGACCAGCCTGGGCAGCACGGAAAACCCATCTCTAAAAACGTGTAGCTGGCAGGCTGACTTGCTCAAATGCAAATGTTTACCCCACAGTGTTTAAGGGTGGCCTTTCCGGGCTCGTCACAGGGGCTGCGTCTGATTTAATCCTTTGCTGCATCTGGTGGCTTCCCACAAACACAGTCTCACAGGGAGGCCACATCTCTTACACATTCGGGTCATAGGGCATGCACATTTTTCAGGATTTTGCTCCCATTGCTAGGTCTGTGTGTTCACAGCAAGTGAGCTTGGCATGACCCTAGGTCTTCAGCCACACCCTTTGTGTGAGGCAGAGAAGTTCCATCCCTCCCCTCCAGGCCCTGGTCTTAGCACCTGTGGCCTCTGGGGCCCTCACTGGTCCGTCTCACACGTGGGGCTGTGTCGGGCAGCAGCTGCAGGAAGCCCAGCCTGGCCTTACCACATGCTGCTGGCACCGTCCGGGTTGAGGCATGGGTGACAGACGACAGCTCTGATGTGGGGGAGGAGGCAAGGGCGTGCACAGGCTTCCTTCTCAGAAAGGCTTCACACTGAGTCGCTCCACCTTCCGTACAGGGGCAAAGCACACGTCCCTGCCGTGGGAGCATCGGCCTGTGGCACAGCAGCAGCAGATTGGCCAGGCATGGTGCTGTCCACTCTGGGGCTGTGGCCGCTGCTCCTGGCCTGCTGGACCCTCTCTCCCGGTGAGTGTGTGTGTCGCTGTCTGCAGGGCGCTGGGGGTCGGAGCACGGGGGAGGGGCCCCGACACAACAGTGGACCCATGAGCTCCTTGGTATGAATCCTGTGAGCCTCAGCTGGGGACCCAGAGGGCTGGGGTGTCGCCTCAGGGCGCCTGAGCGGGCAGTGACCAGAAGCTTGTTTTCTGTGTGGCTTCCACGTGCGTGTGAAAGGCTGGGACCTTAACCTCGTTGAAGTTCCTCAGAAAATGGTCTTTAGGACACTTTGGTTAACGTTTTGTTCATTTTTGTTGGCATTTAAGTTTGTTAATGTGATTGGTGATATCCTAATGAAGTGAGAAAATGGGAAGGTCAAGAGCAAGGGAGGTGAAAGTTGGATTTCTAACACTGAGACTTCTGGACGTAAAGTGCTCAAGGGCCCTTTGCCGTTCTATGCTCTTTTCCCCGAAGCTCCTGCTGCAGAGTCCCTGGCCCTGGTGAGGAGCGGAAACCGCTGTGAGGGCCTCCTGCAGGTGCAGTCCCTGGGGCAGCAGGGCCCGGTGTGCGGGGACCACTGGGGCCTGCGGGAGGCGTCTGTGATTTGCAGGCAGCTGGGCTGCGGTCACGCCCTCTATGTCCCCACGTATGTGGTGTGGCCCCAGGAGGCCCAGAAGTCCCTGCTGCGGGGCGTGCAGTGCCGGGGTGTGGAGGCCTCGCTCTGGGAGTGCTCCCGGGGGGAGTGGGGGTCGCTGCACAGCTGCGAGTGTGAGTGCATCGGCGCAGTTCACTGCTCAGGTAGGGCGCATGCCCGGGAGTCGCTTCTGCCAGCCTTTGGCCCTGCCCCCACCCACTACCTTCACTCTTGGGAGGAGCGGTGCTGCCTGAGCTCCCCAGGGTGGAAGACAACACCCTTCTTCCTGGGGTGACCCTCAGACCCTCATGGCACTGTATGATCCCACAAGTGTCCCCCCCGAAGGCCCAGACAGCACAGCACAATTGAGGAACACATTTCACACCAGGCAGCCCTGGCGGGGACCCCAGCCTGAGTTCAGTCCTTTCAGGTTCATTGACTCCTGGCGACCATCAAGCACTGGGCCAGTGGTGGCCACAGGACCTTCTGGAGTGAAGGGGCCCTCTCTTCCTCCCGAGTGGCTGATATGAGTGGAGGCACCAGCCTGGGGGCTCAGGCAGGTGCAGAGTGAAGGGCTTTCTCCTGGCCCTCGTCTTGGCTTTCTGCCCCTGCGCTGTCCCTTGCCAGGGCCCACTCAGGGCTCTGAGCTCCTGGATCTGCCCCAGATTTCAACACCGTGGTCCCACTCAGGCTCTGGCTGGGACCCTGCCCTTTCCCCTCCGCTGGATTGTTGGTGAGAAGCAGAGGCTCAAAGTGGCATATTTGAGGAGAGAGATGAAGGGTGTTGACACAGGTGAGGAGGGGCCACTGGCACCAGAGGGCCCTGGCCTGCAAAATCCACGGCATGAGCTCCAGCACCAGAGACAGCTGGCCCTGTGCAGAGACCCCTGAGGGGTGTGACCAAGGGCCTGGGATACTGGCCTGCAGGGCTCCTCAGAGGAGCAGACGGGCCCATCTCCCATCTTCTGTCCTCTCCACCAGAGGGGCCCTCCCAGTGGGCAAGGCCCCAGATGCCAGAGGGCATGGAGCTTGTTCTGCCATCTATGCAGGTGGCCTCAGGCCCAGTGTGGTGGGGAGAGGGGACCTAAAGTGGGCAGGTACAGTCTCTGGCTGCGTCCTCTGGGGTCCTGGGCCTGAAAGAAAGGCCTCTGCTGCAGACCGGCACACGCCTCCTCCTTCCACGAAGCCCTCTGCCTCAGTCCTCTGGAGTCCACGTGTTAGGGGTGGGAGGCTGTCCCCAGCAGAACTGAAGTGGAACCAGATTGGGCCTCTGTGTGTACAGGAGGAAATCTGGCATCCTTGGGGCTGAGTGGTGGAGGCAGCCCCTGTGCGGGGACCCCGGAGATCCGGATAACCAAAGGCCCTGCGATAAGGTGCGGCTTGCACCAGAAGGAGGCCAGCGTCTTCTGCAGGAGGCTGGGATGCGGCCTGGCGCTCCAGGCATCCAGGCCCTACCTCTCAGGACACCCAGGCTGGCTGGGTTCGAAAATCGTCTCCTGCCAGGGAACAGAGTTCAGCATCTTCAACTGCAGATTCAACCTGAACTTCCTGGACCACTGTGACCTTCCAACAGACTCTGAGGTGGTGTGTGCAGGTAGGGACGCCTGTCCCGAGGATCTCCGAGACGGGAGGTGTCCACTCAGAGCAGCATCCGGGGGCTGAGGGGATGGCCCCGGCCTGGGGGAGAGGGGACTTGTCCCCTGGGGCTTCAGTGCCCGCCCAGCAAGGCCCCTATGCTGCTGCCCTCAGACTGCACCCCTGTCGTGGGGAGGGAGAGGGGCTGGTGGCCCAGGGGTCACCTGGGGAGATGACTGACACTGATGGCAGCTCCTCCCTCAGGGCCCTGGCCAGGGTGTGGCTGGGCACTGGGCTTAAAAGTGAACAGTGATTAAAGTGGCCTTTCAGGGACCAGGTGCAACCCTGGGAGTAGGCTCCATGACACAGATGGGGGGGAGAGGGGGAACCTGGGCGCTGGGATAGAGATCCTTGCTTGGGGTGGGGGCTGTTGTTGTGGGAGCCAGGACCCCAGGAAGACAGAAGGGTGGGAGAGGCCTTGGCCTGCACACCCCAGGACCTCTCCTGCCAAGGGCCGGGCCAGCTCAGACTGTCCTTCCCGTGGGACCCGAGGGCAGTGGTCAGGTCACTCTGCCCAGAGGCCTGCACCGAGCCCGTCCTGCCCAGCGCTACATCCAGCGTCTGCCCCCAGGACACACCGAGGCCCGGCTGGTGGGCGGCGAGCACCCCTGCGCCGGGCGCCTGGAGGTGCGGCGGGGCCTGACCTGGGGCACCGTGTGCGACGCGGACCTGGACCTGGCCACGGCCCACGTGGTGTGCCGGGAGCTGCAGTGCGGGGCGGCGGTGTCCACGCGCGAGGGCGCCCGCTTCGGCCGGGGCTTGGGGCCGGCGTGGACCGAGGCCTTCCGCTGTGCGGGCACCGAGCCGCTGCTGTTCCACTGCCCGCGGGCACGCGGGAGCCCATGTGGGCCCGGCCACGACGCGGGGCTGCGGTGCGCGGGGGAAAGTAAGTCGCGGCGCGGGCTCGGGGCTGGGGCCGTGGGCGGGACGGAGCTGGGGCCCGTGGGGCTCGGGGCTGGGGCGGTGGGTGGGACGGAGCTCGGGTCCGTGGGGCTCGGGGCTGGGGCCGTGGGCGGGACGGAGCTGGGGCCCGTGGGGCTCGGGGCTGGGGCGGTGGGTGGGACGGAGCTGGGGCCGGTGGGGCGGGCGCTACTGCTCCGGGACTTGAACCCGCGCGCCCTGGGCCTGCGCTGCCGCCGCCCCGAGCTTCCGTCCCCGGCCCTCGCGGGTGTGTGGCCGCAGGTCGGTCATCTCCGGAGCAATGTTTGCTCAGGACCCTTTTCCACGCGGACCCCACATCCCAGTGTCACCGGCAGGTATTTCCTCCAGCCCGTAGGAGTCTTTTTCTTCTGATAACCTCCCTGCACGCACAGCGTTTAATTCTGAGGAAGTCCCGTTTACCTATTTATTCCCCTTTTGTTCCTCGAACTTTGTTTGTTTGTTTGTTTTGAGACGGAGTTTCTCTCTTGTTACCCAGGCTGGAGTGCAATGGCGCGATCTCGGCTCACTGCAACCTCCGCCTCCTGGGTTCAGGCAATTCTCCTGCCTCAGCCTCCCGAGTAGCTGGGATTACAGGCACGCGCCACCATGCCCAGCTAATTTTTGTATTTTTAGTAGAAACGGGGTTTCACCGTGTTGACCAGGATGATCTCGATCTCTTGACCTCGTGATCCACCCGCCTTGGCCTCCCAAAGTGCTGGGATTACAGGCGTGAGCCACCGCGCCCGGCCCTGTTCCTCAAACTTTTAGTGTCATCTCTAGGAATCCACTCTCTGATCCGAGGTCGTGAAGAATATTCCCGTGTTTTTTTCTCGCTTTTATGTTTTCGGCTCTTATTTGCTCTTTGATGGATCACGTTTTGTACACGGTGTAGGGAAAGGGGCCGTTCGTTCTGAGCATGTGTCTATCCAGCTGACCATTTGTTGAAGATGCTATTCTGTCCTCACTTTTTAAAACATATGTATTTATTGTTCTAAAATGACACATAATAATTGCACAGGGTGAAGTCTGAATACACACACACCTTTGGTGATGATTAGCTGGTCTCTCCCTGGTGACTCTTCCTCACACCGTGTGAAGATCTGTTGCCCTCGCGTGCGTAGAGTGACTTTGGGACATTCAATCTGCTCTGTTGACTTATGTGTATTTTTATGCCAAGGGCATACTCTGTTGATTTTCGTAGTTCTGTCGTAGTTTTGAAATAGGGAATGAGTCCTGTAACTTTTTCTTTTTCAGTATTGCTTTGGTTATTTAAGGTCCCTTGAAATTCCATGTGAATTTTACTACCAGTTCTATTTCTGAACAAAAAATGGCTGTTGGGATTTTGATAGGGATTTTGTGAAATCTGTAGATTGGCTTGGGAGTATTTCAAGCTTAACAATATTAAATCTCTCAATATATGAACACAGGATGTCTTTGCATTTGTTTAGATTTTCGCTGATTGTTTTAAAAAAGGTTTTGTAGTTTTCAGTGTACAAGTCTGTCTTGGACCTCCTTGGTAAATATTATTATTATTATTTCATTCTTCTTTAAATGGACACATTTGGACACATAGTAATTAAACCCTTTAGCATTCCGTGAAGGACAAGTCTAATAGCAGTGAATTTCCTCAGCCTTTGTTTAAATTCCCCTTCATTTTAATACAGAATTTTGGAGTGATGAGGTTTTCCTTTCGGCACTGTAAATATGCTACCCCACTGCTTTCTGGCTTCCGTGGTTTCCGATGGGAAGGCAAGTGCTGGCTTTACTGAGGGTCCCTTGTACATGATGAGTCACTTGTCTCTTGCTGCTTTGAAGACTCTTTCTTTTTATTTGGCTTTTGAGAGTTTGATTATAGTATCTCACTGCACATAGTTTTCAGTATAACTTGAGGTTTGTTGGGCTTCTTGGATGTAGACTTCTGTCTTTCATCAAACTTGGAATTTTTTGAAATATTTTTCTATCACGTTCTCTCTCTCTCTCTTTTTTTTAAATTTCTTATTCTCTGGAAGAGCCAGTATCCTCTGCTCTTTCTGTGACTCTGATTATGCATCTGTTGATATACTTGATGGTGTCCCACAGGTCTTTTGGGATCTACTGATTTTTCTTCATTCTTTTTTCTTTCTGCTCCTCAGGGTAGATAATCTGAATTGACTTATATTCAATTTCACAGACTATCTTTTGCCTGCTCAAGGGGTCACTGTTGAACCTTTTAGTGAACGTTTCATTTGTTATTGAACTTTTAAGCTCCAGAAAATCTACTCGATTCCTTTTTATTAGTATTTATTTATTTTTATTAGTATTACTTATTTGGTGAGATATCATTGTCTTGTTTCCCTCAGGTCTTTGAGCATATCGAAGACAGTGAGTTTAAAGTATTTGTCTAGTAAGTCTAATGACTCGGCATTCTCAAGCACTGTCTCTATTTCCTTTTTCCCCGTATAAATGCATCATAATTTCTGATTACTTTGCCTAACGTTTTTGCTAGAAGCCAGGGTTAGTTGTTGCTGATAGTTGCTTGTTTAATGACTTTTCTAAACTCCTTTTATAAAGACTCTTCTTTGTCACCTGTGACCACTGGTCTCTTTTCTCTTGGTGCAGTGGGAGTTAGTGATTAGACATATTTCCTTAAATGCATAGTAAAAAACAGACAAGCACTCCTGAGTCTTCCAGTCTTTGCAAGTCAACCCTTTGCTGGGGCTCACCCTCAATACTAAGGCAAATCACTGTCTACTCTGCATTGTTCTTCTCTCCTTCCTTATGCAGAACCAAATCTGCCTCTTATTTCTTCGTTAAGTGTTTCCAGGTTGTTCCAAGATACTGGAATTTCAACAAAATTGGTTATGAGTTTTACTACCTAATCATTACATTAGTTACATTAGAGGGAGACGAGCTGTGGGGTCCCTTACTCACCATGTATATTGTTGCTGCTTCCTACCCACACATTTCCTCCCAGGTGCAGGGTGTGAGTATTTTTAACCAGGCACACACCAACATCCAGGTGCAGCAGCATGGTGGGGTCTGAGTGAGCAGAGGTGCTGCCCGGTTTCCCAGAGCTCTGGCTGGCTAAGAGAAGCCGGCTGTGCAGGGCGTGTGGGGCTCCGTCTTGGTGCGCACCTCCCGCTTGTTGAGACAGCATTCAGCACCGTCTTTATTAGCATTGCTCTGTGATGGATGCGTTCCAGAGCACTACCCAGAGCACTGACTATATTTTGATAGTTTTCCCGGCTTAATCACGGCTTAAGTGAAGGCATACATTTTGGATTTCCCAGGCAATTTGTGGTGACCTCACTCACCAAAGCTGTTCTGAGCCCTCAGTCTGTCCCCGCAAGTCTGGGAGCGGACTGTGAAATAGGCTGGCATGAAGGCCCAGTGAAGTCGGGTCTGTGTCCCCAGCCACACTGACTCCTCTTCTCCCCCAGAGTTCAGGCTGGTCAACGGCAGCAGCAGCTGTGAGGGCCGCGTGGAGCTCCAGGTGCAGGGGTCCTGGGCGCCCCTCTGTGCCACCCACTGGGACATAGCAGACGCCACCGTCCTCTGCCACCAGCTCAACTGTGGCAACGCGGTGGCCGCACCTCGAGGAGGCCATTTTGGGGGCGGGGACGCTGCCATCTGGCCTGACGCATTTCACTGTGAGGGGACAGAGTCCTACTTGTGGAATTGCCCAGTAAGCACCCTGGGGGCCCCGGCCTGTGGCCCGGGAAACTCGGCCTCCGCAGTGTGCTCAGGTGGGTGCAGCCAGGACTGTGGAGGAGGAGGAGGGTGAGCGAGAGCTGTGGACAGAGGGTGCAAGGAAGGACAGAGGGGCTGAGAGGGACTGGCCTGCCTGGGGGCTGTGGTCCTGGGTCCCTCCCCCTGACACCCTGAGGCCCCCGTGCGTCCCCATCCCCAGGTCTCCCCCACGCCCTGCGGCTGAGGGAAGGACAGAGCCGCTGTGACGGCCGCGTGGAGGTCTCCCTGGACGGCGTGTGGGGCCGCGTCCTGGACGACGCCTGGGACCTGCGCGGCGCGGGCGTGGTGTGCCGGCAGCTGGGGTGCGGAGGGGCCCAGAGAGCCTACGACGCGCCCGCCCCCAGCCGCAGGTCCGTCCAGGTGGCGCTGAGCCGCGCACGCTGTGTGGGCACCGAGACCCGCCTGACCCAGTGCAACGTGTCCGCGACGCTGCGGGAGCCCGCGGGGACCTCGCGGGACGCCGGCGTGGTGTGCTCGGGTGAGGGTGGAACCGCGTCCCCCTTGGGCCGTGGCCGCGCGGCGCGGGGCGCCCTGACTCTGTCTCTCCGCAGGGAGCCTCGGGGTGCGGCTGGCCGCGGGGCCGGGGCGCTGTGCGGGGCGCGTGGAGGTGCTGCGCGGGGGCGCGTGGGGCACCGTGTGTGACGACACCTGGGACCTGCGGGACGCGCACGTGGTCTGCAGGCAGCTGGGCTGTGGCCGCGCCCTGAGCGCCCCGGGGGCCGCGCACTTTGGAGCCGGGGCAGGGCGCATCTGGCTGGACGAACTGGGCTGCCAGGGCCACGAGTCTGCGCTGTGGCAGTGCCCGTCGGCGGGCTGGGGCCAGCATGACTGCAGCCACAAGGAGGACGCCGGCGTCTTCTGCTCAGGTCCGGAAGCCTGTCCACCCTGTGGTCCCCACCCACACTCTTAGCTGGGCCTTGCTGACTGGCTTTTCTCACTGCAGAGTTCACGGATCTGAGGCTGCAGAGCCACAGGCAGCCATGCGCAGGGCGGCTGGAAGTTTTCTACAATGGGACCTGGGGTGGTGTCTGCCGCACCTTGAGTCCGGCCTCCCTGCGGGTCCTGTGTGAGCAGCTGGGTTGTGGGTCTCACGGGCAGCTGCAGGCCGTGGCAGGGAGCCGGTCGGCCACTGAGTTTCTCTGGGTGGCCTCCATCCAGTGCAGGGACAGACATGACCAGTCCCTGTGGCAGTGTCCGTCAGCTCCCTGGGACCAGCATTCATGCTCCAGCGGAGAGGAAGCCTGGGTCCTGTGCACGGGTGAGTGGGTGGGCCTGAAGTTGGTGGAGAGGGTCTCCGAGTGGCCCCACACTGTGTCTGCATGGGCCCTTTCCTGGGAGAGGAAATGTCAGTTTCCATTGTCCTCATTCTGTATGACTGCCCTGTGCTGGTCCAGTGAAAGGGGACCGTCCCTGCTCCGAGGCTCTGCGCTGGGGGGGGCGGGTGGGGGGGCGGGGAACATCTGGAGATCTCCCCAGTGAGGGAAGCAGGGCCCCTGCACTTCCTGGTATTGTCTGAGGACATCCTGCAGGGAGACGTGCCCCTTGGAGAGTCTCAGGCACAGTCTGTGGAATCTAATTCCATGTGGAGAGCCTTTGCTTAAACAGAGTTCTCTCTTTAGCCAGCAAAAGTTGCTGTGCTGGGGAGACAGAGAGAAAAAGGAAATGAAAAATATTTTACAAAACTTAAGCTGCTGAGCTGGCAAATACAGAAACGGGTCCCAATTTCCTACGCAGAAAAGGCAGGAGAAGTTCCTCAGGACCCTGGGGAGACCCTCAACTGCTCCTCCTCGCTCAGCTGCCCAGGTACCCCTCTGTCCTTGTCCCTGTCCCCCTGCCCACCCCGGTCCAGCCCCCGAGTGACGGCAGCCCCTTTTGCAGAGGAGGGCGCAGTGCGTTTGCGAGGGGGCCAGGACCGCTGCTCTGGGCGCGTGGAGCTCTGGCACGCGGGCTCTTGGGGCACCGTGTGCGACGACGCCTGGGACCTGGCGGATGCGGAGGTGGTGTGCCGCCAGCTGGGCTGTGGTCCCGCCGTCGCCGCCCTGGGGGCCGCCGCCTTTGGCCCTGGCTCCGGGCCGGTGTGGCTGGACGAGGTGGGCTGCCGGGGCAGCGAGGGGTCCCTGTGGGACTGCGCTGCGGAGCGGTGGGGACGCGGAGACTGTGCGCACAAGGAGGATGCGGGCGTGCGCTGCATGGGTGAGTGGGGATGGTGGGAAATGGGTCATGGGGCAAGCAGAGGGCACTGGGATGGGAAGTCAGCCTTGAGTCCTGCTCTGTCGCTTCGCTTGGCCGGAGAGCAGTCCCCAGGTTTAGTGGGTTTGTATCCACCCTCACGTTTTTCTGGGATAAGCCGGTTTGCTGTGGAGGCCTGGTTGGGACATGCATCTCCTGGGATGTCCTTATAATCTTTTTTTGGGAATTCCCTTTTGTTTATCCCAATCCTTGTTCATCTGGGGTTTAAGTGTCATCTGGGTGTTTGCTGGTTCACCTGTTCCCAAAGCCTGCCCCTCATTCTCTTTGCAGAAAACAGTTAACCACAGAAATGAGCTTAACAAAAATGGCAGCAATGGGTAACTTGACCTGAGCTGCTCTGTGCTCTGCTCACCTCTTGTGACTTGCCCTGGCATCTATCTGCTTGGGGGCCATGTCCCTCACTGTTTTACCAAGGAAGGAGGATGTCCCTTGAGAGCAGTTGCCCACATGGACACCAGCCATTCTGGGTTGCTCCATGCCCCTAAAACCAGAAGATAACCCCCAGCATTTCCAACTTGCAGGTCCCCCATGAGGGTGAGGGTGTGGCTTGGCCCTCGGAGCCACTCTGTCCTGCCGAGGGTGTGCATGCCCCCCCTTGCCACCCTGCTGGCTCAAGACCTCTCCTTCCTCAGAACCTGGCCCAGGCTCCCCACCGCCTGGAGCACCCTGCTGGACACTCCAGGCTGTCAGTGTCACCCTGGGAGCCCTTCTTGGTCCTCTCCTTCTGGGCCTCTTGGCCTTTCTGATTCTACCTCGAGTCACACAAGTCATGCAGAGGGGTAAGCACGAGCCTACCCTGACCCATCAGCTGGTGTGCAGGAGCAAGAGGAGCTCACAGCGCCAACATGGTGCTGGGGTCTGGGCAGGCGGGGTGCTCTGCAGTGCTCAGGCCTATGCAGACCCGTCCCCAGAATCCAAGGAACTGAGAAGCTGAAGAAAGAGGCAGACAAATCCAGTTTCTTAGAAAGAAATGCTTAAAAGGGACTTGTGAAGACAAGCCATGTCCATGCCTTGGATGGCTTCCAGCTGAGACGGCAGATGCCCAGGCTGTCATCCCCCAGAACTGGAACTTACATACCCTAGGGGAAGGGGACGTGTAGAACAATTGCTTAAGGGCAGGATTTACAGTGAGTGCATGATCTTACCAAGAAACAGTAGATAAAATGGAAATCTTAGAGGAGTTCCCAGAACTAGAGTTAATCAGAAGTCAACATGGTGGATCAGCATCCAAGGCAGAGTTGCTTCAGCCTCGAGGCAGGTCTCACTTCGGGCTCCTTTTATAGGCCACAGAGTATGGCAGACATGTCAGCCTCCAGCCCTCAAGACCCCAGAAGGTCCCCCTCAGACAACACATTGGGGCCCACTGGGAAGCATCATGTGGTTTACTGGCCAGGGATGGGAGGGCTCTGGGGGTCTGGCCTTGTGGCCATGGTTCCCCCAATCCCAGCCCACACTGAGGGCCTGCGTGTGACCACGCTCACCTTGCCTCAGGTCTGGGAAGATCCGAGGAATCTCCTGGAGAAGCCATCTATGATGTCATTGGGGAAATGCCATCAGCAGGACTGTATGAGGAAATCGTGGAGGCTGAGGCCATGCCCCAAGGTGAGGAGGATGGGGTGTGGTAAAGGTGGATGCAGAAGCCACAGGTGGGTGTGTGCCCCAGCTCAGGGGTGAGCTCTGGGGTGGGCTATGGATGCTGACCACAAGATGCAATGAGAGGGGACGCTGACCATAGGGCCTTGGCCTCAGAAGGCTGCTGACCACAGGGCTCATGGATGCAAGGGACCCATGGGCAGGGGAGAGCAGGGCCACACCAGTGAGGGCAGAGTCAGCGGCTGCAGTCCCCATCGGAGAGGCCTGCCCCATGGTGGGAGAAGAGGGCTGGGAGCCGTGGGTCTGGCAGGGCCATATTCCAAGCTCTCTGTACACGTGCAGCTGACTCGGCCTGTTTCCTCACCTGTGGGAACTGTGCTGCTGTCACAGGGCGCTTGAGGCGCTTCCGTGTCGAGATGCCTCCAGCGCTTTCTGGCTGACATGTTTCTTTCCAGCTTGCCAGATGTGCTTTGGGGACAACTCGCACGTGTGCGGATTTGGTCATGTGGTGTCTCTTGTGCCAATTTCAGGGGAGGTGTCTAACCTCCTGGAGGGACAGTCTACACGTGAGGAGGGAGGAGGCAGCAGACCTCTTTCTCATGGATATGACGAGGCTGCCTTTCCGCTGGAGGAGATGACACCGTGAAGCACCTGAGGGTGAGGTACACCAGCTGGTCGTCAAAATCACAGTTCTTCATTGTCTTCTACAATTGTAGCGGATTTCGTGAGAACATCATGGGTGCCTTTCTCTTGCTGTGTCCCCCACATCCGTATAAAATTCCATCCTTCCAGGCCCTGCCTGGCTCTAGCCCCCTGTCCCCTTCGAGCGCCATCGCTGTGGACAGTCGTGCTGTGTAACCTTCATATTTCCCACGCATTACAGCAAATGCAAATGTGTATGGAAATCAGTGGTTGTGTTCGTGGTTTAGAGCCACATGGTGCCGTGTTCATCTTCTGCTCCACAGCTCGCTCCTGCTGCCCAGAAGTGTGTTGGCGAGCTCCCAAGCCAGAACCTTCTTCTTTCTTCTTAATCGAATCCAGAGTACCTTTTAGATGTCCTACTTGTGCAGTCGCCGTGGATATTCAGATTTGTCCTCACCTTCCAACCGGTGTCCCTTTAATTTCTCTTTCTGTGCCTTCTTTCGTGGGCTGTGACTTTTGTCCCGTGTTGAACAGAGGTGGCCTTGTCTCATTCATGGACTCAAAGCAAACCTGCTCCATGTTTCATTTAACTATTAAATATAATATTTGATGCTTGGTTTTGTAGATGCTATTTATCAGATCAAGGAAAACCCAGCCTATCCCTAGTCTGTTAAGGGTTTTACTTTTTATCATAAGTGTTGACTTTTATCAAATTCTTTTTTGCATCTATTAAGATGATATATGATTGATTTCATATGTTAAATTAACCTTGGGTTAAACAAATCTAACTTTGTCATGATATATTATTCTTTTTATATTTCACAGGAATTAGTTTGGTAATATGTTGGGTCACTGTTTAAAACAGAAATTGATATCATTTTTTTCTTTTGTTGTAATATTTTTGTTTAATTTTTGGTATGAAGATTATTCAGGTCTCATAAGAGTTAGAACGTATTCTCTCTTTAAAAAAATATTTGCTCATTTATACTCCCACAACAGTGTAAAAGCATTTCTATTTCTCCACATCCTCTCCAGCATCTGCTGTCTCCAGATTTTTTAATGATCGCCATTCTAACTGGCATGAGATGGTATCTCATTGTGGTTTTGATTTGCATTTCTCTAGTGACCAGTGATGAGCTTTTTTTCATGTTTTTTGGCCACATAAATGTCTTCTTTTGAGAAGTGTCTGTTCATATCTTTCACCCACTTTTTGATGGGGTTGTTTGCCTTTTTCTTGTAAATTTGTTTAAGTTCCTTGTAGATTCTGGTTATTAGCCCTTTGTCAGATGGATAGATTGAAAAAATTTTCTCCCATTCTGTAGGTGGCCTGTTCATTCTGATTACCCATTAATGATAGACTGGATAGAGAAAGTCTGGCACATATACACCATGGAATACTATGCAGCCATAAAAAGGATGAGTTCATCATGTCCTTTGCAGGGACATGGATGAAGCTGGAAATCATCATTCTCAGCAAACTAACATAGGAACAGAAAACCAAACACTGCATGTTCTCACTCATAAGTGGGAGTCAAACAGTGAGAACACATGGACACAGGGAGGGGAACATCACACATGGGGCGTTGGGGGAGGGGGTTAGGGGAGGGATAGCATTAGGAGAAATACCTAATGTAGATAATGGGTTGATGGGTGCAGCAAACCACCGTGGCATGTGGATACCTATGTAACAAACCTGCACTTACTACACTTGTATTCCAGAACTTCAAGTAAAATAAAAAAAAACATAAAAAACATTTGCAAGAGTTTATGCAGCATTGGTTTTATTTATCCTTAAATGTTTGGAAGAATTCACTAGTAAAGCTCTCTATCTGGGTCTGGAGTTTCCTTTTTAGGAGGGTTTTTTTTTCCAGATTTAATTTTTAAAAATAAATAACTGACACATTCAGATTCTCTCTTTCATATTTGTTGGCAATAGATGTTTGGTGTCACAAAGAAAAGTTAGCACTGAGACAAAAGACTTTTCAGCAATGCAGTTTTTACATCCTGGACCACAGAAAGCGTACCCTCGCTAGCCATCCTGCCACGAGAGTACAAGGAGCAAAGGTAAAGCAGACACATTTATCCCTTATGCATTTGGGGTTGTCCTTACTGCTGTGTCTGATCTCCGTTGGTTGGAGCCAGGGCTCACAATCTAAATTAAAACCCTATTGGCTGATAACTTAAAACTTTTCTAGGCCGGGTATGGTGGCTCACACCTGTAATCCCAGCACTTTGGGAGGCTGAGGTGGGCAGATCACGAGGTCAGGAGATCAAGACCATCTTGGCCAACATGGAGAAACCCTGTCTTTACTAAAAATACAAAAATTAGCCAGGTATGGCAGTGCGTGCCTGTAATCCCAGCTACTCGGGAGGCTGACACAGGAGAATTGCTTGAACCTGGGAGGCGGAGGCTGCGGTGAGCTGAGATTGCGCCATTGCACTCCAGCCTGTGCGACAGAGCGACACTCAGTCTCAAAAAAGAAGAAAAACTTTTCTAAACAGGTAAAAGCAACGGAGAGCTGGGACATGCCTGTGAGCCCGTCCAGCACAGATATCTTGGTTAAAGTGCAAGGACATAGAATGTACTACATGCCTGTAAGCACGGCATGTCTAACAGCTACATAGGATAGGGCTTCACAAAGTTAGTAGCACACTTTTTCTTTAACAAGAAAGGAAACTTTAAAAACGGACCTTCCTCCTTCCCACACTACTAGCTCTGCTTTGCTCAGCGCTTTTTAAAATGAATCGTACATATAACCTAAGTTTTCAGGTTTGTTGGTGTGAATTTGTGCATTGTGTCTTTCTATTATCCTTCATGTCTACAAAGTCCCCAGTCATGTGCATTTTTCAATCCTGACAGCGGCACTTTGTGTCTTCTCTCTTTTGTTCTTTTTTTCTAAGAGACCAGGGTCTCACCGTGTTTGGGACTGGATTCAAACTCCTGGGCTGTAGGATCCTCCCTCACAGCCCCCCGCACAGCTGGGACTCCGGGCACTCTGCTGTTCTTGACCCGTGCTGCTGACGGCTTCTTCACCTCATTAGTCTTTTCAAGGCCTGTGGAGCCTGTGCCTTGGTTTTCTTGATTTTTCCTAGTGAACATCTGCTTTCTGTTTCATTAGTTTCTGCTCCCATCTTTGTGATTTGCTTCTACTTATTCCAGCTTTTCATGTGGACATTCAGATTGTTGATATTCAGCCTTCTTTCTGTTTTAATGAATATATTTTAGGTTACAACTTTCCCTTTTAGCTGCATTCCAAGAGCTTTCGTACGTTGTGATTTTGTTTTAATAGGCGTATTGAGGTATGATTAGCATAGAGTGAACTTCACATATTTAAAGGATAGTTTGCAGTAAGTTTTGACATGCGCCTGCTCCCTGAAAGGATCGCAGCATCTATGAGAATTGACACATCCATCACCCCAGCGCTTTTCCTGTATGTTTGAACGTCTGTCTTTGCCGTCCCTTCCTGTGCCCTACCCCCCGGGTGACCAGGTTCAGCTTGCTGACACTGTGGACTGCTTTGCACTACTTGAATTTTATGTAAATGGTTATATAGCATGTACTCTTTGGGGGATGAAAGTCCGGCTTTTTTCGCTCAGCACGATGACTTGCGATTCATCCGGGTGGTGAGAAACCGTAGTTCATTTCTTCCTCTTGATAAACAGTGCTCCGTTGTGCTGTTTGTCTGCTCACTTGTTGATGGGCATCTGCGCTGCTTAAAGTTTTTAGCTATTGCAAAACAAGCTGCTACAATGTTCATGTGCGAGTCATACGGACAGGTCCTTTCATTTCTCTTGGCTACCTGGGAATGGAACGGCTGTACGGCAGGTGCAGGGCTCACATTCTATAGACCTTTCTGGAGTGGCTGCACCACGTCGCATCCCCCAGTGATCTCTGAGTGTTCCACTTCCTCCACAAGGTTGCTGACACTCAGTTGATAGTGTCTGACATTCTAACGGTATAGAGTGATGTGTCCTTGTGGTCTTCGTTGGCATTTACCTAAGGACTAATGATACTGAATATCTTTTCGAGTCCTTATTTGCTGTCTGTATATACACTTTGTTGAAGTGTCTGTTCAGAATTTTTGCTCATGTTTTATTGGGTTGTTTGAGTTTTGAGAGTTCTCCTGAGTTCCTCCGGAGTGGTCCCTTCTCAATGGTGGCCCTAGCGCCAGGGGGTTCTCCCCACAGCAGGAACACAGGAAGAAAGTGTTCAGACAAGTTCTGCAGGACAGCCTCAGCCAGGTCCAGATGTGGGCCTGGGGGCCGGGCCACACTAAGCACCTTCCTCCCCTCTGGGGCTCTCTCCCCACAGGATTCAGAGCCCAGCCAGGTGTCCCGTTGGGCACACAGGGGACCCCACCCCTGACAGAGGCCCCCATTGTACTATGGGCCACTGCTGATCTTTGTTCTAGGTGGGCTGGTGGCTCAGATGTTGCCCAGGAGGCTGTGGGTCAGGAGCAAAGGTCAGAGATTGGGAGGCTCTGGCTCGTAGGAAGCACCGTAGGACACCCAGGCAGGTGGGAAGAGGTGTCCTGGAGAGGAAAATGGCAGAGGGAGGGGTGTCTGCTGGGTCGTGTGGGGCTGGAGAGTGGGGGAGAGAATGGCTCTGTTGCGGTAATTCAGTGTCAGAGTCCATGTGCCAGCAGACCACCCCTCAGCCTTGGCGCTACTGACTTTGGGGCTGGGTTGCCCTCTGTGTGGGGCTGCCCTGTGCATCACACGTGCTGAGCAGCATGCCCAGCCCCCACCCGCCAGGTGCCAGGGCAGCCCCCTTCCAGTTGTGACAATTAAAACATGTCTCTAGACGTCACCAAGAGTGCCCTGAGGGCAAAATCAGCACAGTTGGAACCTGTGGGTTAGCAGCAGATTGGATAGGATGATGGTGAGGGACTGTGAGCCAACACAGGAGGTCTCCTTACTTATAAGTTTATTTGTGTAATCTTAAAAGTGTGAAGATATTAGCTCAGTAATTACTTTACCGAAAAGAATAGTATGTAGAAAAAATGAGAACGTTAGCAGGATTATGAGATGGTGATGATTTTGCTTCCCTGGAACTTGAATGGGAGACTCAGTTTACTCACTGGGGTTCTCGTCAGCCTCTACGGCAGATCTTGGTGTTTCATGGACAGCATTCACTGATGTGCCCCTCACGTCCTGAAATGGTTCGTCTTTGAGAATCTCAGCAGTGGCACGGGAGCCTAGAGAGGATTCCAGCACTTCAATTATATTCAGAATATTCACATTGTTGTGGATGGAAATTCCCACTTGCTCTTACTCATCAGTGGCCCACAGTTACATTGTCCTTGTTCAGTTTTAATGAGCCAGCATTTGATATAATTTAAGGGAAAAATATTCATCATAGAGACTGACCCACAAAAAAAGTAGAATGACGTCTGACTCCTCTTCAGGTCATTACCTCAGGGCACCGTTTCAGAGGTCCCAGGAGGATTGAGGTCATTAGAAACGCTTGCTGGCAACTGAGGGCATTCAGTCACAGTGGGAGCATCACCCTCAAGGCTGTATTCCACGGCTCTCCGGGAAAGGCGACTTCAGACATTTCCCGCTTAAATTCTGGTCACGTGCACCTTGAGGCGCAGTCGGGCTCTTGGCACCTGTCTGCTTCTGTTAGAATCACTGCGTCCCGGATTCCACCAGAGGGTGGCTTCCTACCCAGCAGAAGCCAGGGGACCTGTGGCCAGCCCTGCCTCCTGGTCTGTGGAGAGGCTGTGGTGACAGCACTGCCCAGTGCTGCCCTGGAGGAGAGTGAAATACTGTTTCAAACGTACATGGCAAGTGCTGGATACTCCTTAGCTACCGTTACTGCAAACGTGGCACCGTAGCCGCTAATAGTTAGAATATGATGAATTTTCACCAACATTCTTTGCGATTATCTGACAGTTTCCGGAAGAGATTCTTAGAATGCGTATACTTGGAACTTCCACAAGTAGCATTCATGTTGCGGTGGATACTCCCCAAAGTGGGCCAGTACTCAATGGAAGCTGTCGTCTGCAATGACTACAAGCACTTTTCAGCCGCTTAATAAGATTCTCATGTTCACAGCCCTGACAGACTGGGCTCCCCACCACCCAACCAAGGCTCTATTTTCCTCTCTGGAACCTCTCAGTGAGGGGTCTGTCAGCATTCCCATTTGACGGGTGTCAGGGACATAGGGAGGTCCCCTGCAACATAATTTATGAACAGATCCTTGAAAGATGAGTGGACTTGCATGGTGCAAACCCGGAGCCCAAGGACCCTCCGTCAGAGTGGGGAGCAGAGCCAGGATGACCTTCCCAGAGCCCCTCTGCACCCCGTTTCTGATGGCAGCAGCCCCCATGTTGAAACGTGGGCAGAGCTTGGCTGTTTGTCCATTCACTGCCTGACTGCTGTGTCCATCCACAGCTGACTGCTGCCCAGTGCCGGCTCCCAACAGTCTGTCTAAAAACAAGGCAGGAAGGGCGGGGCTCAGGGAGCATCTCATGGAGGTCGGAGGCAGTAACGGAACAAAGCAGAAACGTGACAGATAATGACACACGCTGAACAGCGATTTAGAATGGGGAGAGGAGACGGGGAGAGCC